CGACCCGCAGCCCCCTCCTAACCTGCCCTGCCCCCCCAGCTCCGCCGTGCCCCTCAGGCCCGACCCGCAGCCCCCTGCTGAGTGGTGGGTTTGATTTCTGCTCCCGTAGGTGCTTGGGCTGCTCGTTGACTTAGCTACGGTGCCGTGACTCCCCCGAGCAGGTTGGGGCGGCTGAGCCAGGCACGCTGCACTGCTGGGGGGGTGGGTGGGGGGGGGAGCTGCCCTGGCAGGAGCCTGCGCCCCCCCCCCCCCCCCCCACCCTGACCGTCTCTGTTGCAGGCTGTCCGCGGTGGACGAGTCGCGCACCTCGCTCACGTCCCATTCCGACATCAGCTACGACCGCACCGAGGACGACGTGGTGAGGGCCCCGCTCCGGGCAGACCAGCCCCGGGGGCCTGACTCCGGCTGTCCCGGCTCGTTAATAGCCTGGGGGAGGGGGGCCGGGGCACAGGCCATTGTAACGGGCCCAGTGGGGTGCCTGCCTCCCCCCCAGTACTGGATCCCCAGCAGGTCCCTGGGGAGCTGGTGCGGGGGACGCCTGGGCATGGAGCTGCCAGCGTGGCTCCGTGCTGGGTCATCGCCCACGGACCCTGTGCCCTTCTGGGGTGCCCACCCCACCCCTGCCCGGACACCACCTCATTCTCGCCTCCTTTCAGGACCTGGACGTGACGGTGGTGAAACCCCTGAAGCGCAAGTCCCAGGAGCGCCCGGTAGGTGCGAAACGCCTGGAGCTGCCCCAGGCTAGGGGGTGCTCAGGGCCCTGGGGCGGGGGAGGGGGCAAGTGGCTCCTGGCTTCAGGCACGTTCTTAACCAATGGGAGCAAAATTCTTCCAGCAAGAGCCCGTCACGGACCCCCAGGATCGGGGCCACGGCCCCAGTGTGGGGACAGGCTCTGGGAGGCCTCGTAAGTGGGCCAGGCCCCCGGGGGGTCTCGCTCTTCCTCCAGGGGAAGCCACACGGCTTCATCGGCTCCTGGGGCTGGACCCTGGGCCTGCAGCCCCTCTGCTCCCCCCCCCCACCCCCATGAGCTCTGGGCAGCAAGTCCCCCTGAGACAGACCCCGACGGAGACTTGTACCATCTTGGGGGGCCAGCGCCCCCTCCGCCAGCGTCTGCAGGGACACGCAGCCAGCGCGGGCCGACAGGCGGGTTATTAGTCACCTGGACCAGCCCAGGGAGCCCTTGGGAGCCCCGGGGGAATGAAGGTTAAAATGTCGGCCATGCTGGTCACCCAGGGGTCATAAAAATGTTACAGGAAATCCCCCCCCCCTTTGCCCCAGCCCCACAGGAGCAGGTGGAGGATGAGGCCTGGGAGAGTTGATGGGCGTCAGCAGAGCTGGGGCAGGGGAGTGGGCAGCCCAGGGCCGGGCTAGCAGGGGGCTGCGGGTCGGGAGTGAGGGGCACCGGCAGAGCTGCATGGGGGGCAGGGCTAGCAGGGGCTGTGGGTCGGGAGTGAGGGGCACCGGCAGAGCTGCATGGGGGGCTGGGCTAGCAGGGGCTGTGGGTCGGGAGTGAGGG